CTCTCCCTCCTTCCCTTCTCTGCTACTTAGCGCTGTAGAGGGCGGCCCACCTTGGACCTCAGCGCTTTGTTGCTAAATAATGGGGGAAGGGCAGCGCCTGCAAAGATCAAGGTTGTGCTGAGGAGGCATACTGAGGAGGAGTTCACAGCAAAACCGTGTACACCATATCCTTCGTATTGATGGGCACGCCCTTTCCCGCCCCAGCCTCCTAGAACACATCCGTTCACGCCTCTTAAGTACAGATAGACCTCGACTTACAAACATTCGTTTAGCGACCATTACAGTGGCACTGAGGAAAGCGTCTTATGACCATGTTTCACATTTACAACGGTTGTAGCATCCCCATGGTCACGTGATCAGAATTCAGACGTTTGGCCACGGACCTGTACTTATGACGGTCGCAATGAACCAGGGTCATGCGGTCCCTTTTTGCGACCTTTGGACAAGCAAAGTTATTGGGGAAGCCAGATTCATTTAACGACTGCTGTCATTCCCTTAACAAGCGTGCCAAGGAAAGTCATAAAATGGGGCAAAATTCACTGAATAAATGTATTCACTGAATTGCATAAATGTATAGTTGCATAAATTTTGGGCCCAACGGTGGTCGTAAGTTGAGAGGGGTACCTGTAGTAAAATGTAGATTTAGGGTTTGGGAAACCCTCAACGCTGAAAAGAAACAGTACCATGTCTTCAAAGTTACTGCCTCTGCTTCTCCACTCGAGATCTTGTTTTGGTGGGACCAATTCTCGTCCTGGGAGGAAAATTCCCTGTGGAAAAATACATTACTGTAAATCCCTCTGCCTAGAATAGTCTCAAGACACATGTTGTGTAGTCCAGGGGCCTCCAACCTTGGCAACTTTAAGACTTGTGGACTTCAACTCCCAGAATTCCTCAGCCAGCTTTGCTGAGGAATTCTGGGAGTTGAAGTCCACAAGTCTTAAAATCGCCAATGTTGGAGGCCCCTGGTGTAGTCTGTGGTGTAGCTCTTCGGGGTGTTTCTCTCTCTGCCCATCACCAGGAATGACTGAATTTGGACCCCGAGTGATACCTTGACGAGAAGGTGTACAAGGAGAATAGGGAACATACACCTGAGAGACACATTTGTGTCTGAGCTTGTGGTAGTTTTTAAGATCTTGGACCATCAACCTGGAGCAGTGAAACATGCTCAGAGGACCTGGGATGTTAGTTACATCGAAATGTGTAAGGTTCTGACTTTGAAAGTGGCTTCTGTCTATAACCCGAGTCTTCCAATCCCGCCGTGGTCCCAGAACAGGGATGAAATTCAGCAGGTCCTGACCGGTTCTGGAGAACTGGTAGCAGAAATTTTGAGTAGTTTGGAGAACCGGCAAATACCACCTCTGGCTGGCCCCAGAGTGGCGAGGGAATGGGGATTTTGCAGTATCCTTCCCCTGCCACGCCCACCAAGCCATGCCCACAGAACCGGTAGTAAAAAAAACATTGAATTTTGCCACTGTCCCAGATCCCAACTTAAACCTCAGAGGTGGTGGGTTGCTCTTACCATCACTACTGGTATGCTGCTCATGGTCTGTTTGTGGACGCACCTGACGTGCGCTGCGCATGTGCACGCTACCGCCCCTGTGGCACTCAGCTGCTTGCCGGAAGTCACGTAGGCAGCGCACAGTGCGTGTGCATGCGCAGTTGTTCCGGTTGCTTCAAAAACAGGTATGGAACGTGGGTGGGCCAAACGAGCCACCGTACCGATACGATGGCTGCTGCTACCAACTACAACCGGTACGACCGTACCGGCCGGAACCCACCACTGCCGCAAAGGTAGAATTCAAGGATCAGTTAGGATTCTTAGGATGCGAAATGTCCCAGAGGGAGGGAGGGAGGACAAACGGGGAAAGGAAATTTGAAACAGGGCTCTGCCTAGGGGAAAAGACGGACTCCCGCCAAGGGTAGTTGTGCTCATTTTTTTCTTCTGGGAATGCTGCAAATGCTTGGCTGTGCATGTGAGCATCTAACCTCCCTTTCTTTGGAAACCCAGCCCGTGGGGTTGCCTTGGCAGATTTGACTCTTCCTCAAGAGAGGCGGCTGTATTTACCATCCAGATCCACAGCCTGTTTTGTACTCCGCTGTCATGTTGCAATGCTGGAATTCATTTATGCTTTTCTCTCTCTCTCTCTTTTTCTCTCTTTTCACTTTCCGTTTCTCTTTTTTTGCCTGTCACATAACATGTATAACTTTTGATTTCCTTGTCCAACGTTTTCTCGTTCTTCTCCCACCTTCTCCCCCAATCCTTTTACCTGCTTTCCTACAGACAGTCCCCAGCCGTGACCTCTCGGTGGTTCCCACCCTCTACCTTGTACTTGCTGCTTGCTCAGAGAGAGAGAGAGAGAGAGAGGAAGAAAAACAGGAGTGGGGAGGTGGGTTGGCACAGAGAGCAAGAAAGGAACAATCTGTGAGCGGAAGAGTTGGCACGCGGTCCTCCCGCCTGGAGTTCAGGCTATTGGTTTTCGATTTCAAAAGAAATAAATAGCATTTTACCTGAGGTAGGAGATGAGAGGGAACGCGGTGGCTCAGTGGCTAAGACGCTGAGCTTGTCGATCAGAAAGGTCGGCAGTTCAAATCCTAGCGCCATATAACAGAGTGAGCTCCCGTTACTTGTCCCAGCTTCTGCCAACCTAGCAGTTCGAAAGCATGTAAAAATGCAAGTAGAAAAACAGGAACCACCTTTGGTGGGAAGGTAACAGCATTCCGTGCGCCTGCGGTGTTTAGTCATGCCGGCCACATGACCATGGAGCGCTGGCTCTTTGGCTTAGGAACGGAGATGAGCACTGCTCCCTAGAGTCAGGAACAACTAGCACATATGTGCAAGGGGAACCTTTTTCCTTTTCCTCTACAAAATGAGCGAAGTTTTGCCTTGACTGGTGAGCAGTTGGCATTCCTACATTTAATCCCCCTAAAAAAATAATATCCCAATTGGATATCTTTGTGGGGTCCTTGCTTCTTTCTGAACTGGCTTAATTTCTTGCAGCTATTCCATTAACCAACTGGGTAACATCAGTGCCAGCACTTCCCTAGCACTGATGATGTTACCTAGTTGGGTACTGAAATGTCCATAAGAAAACAACCGAGCTCAGAGAACACCAAGGACCCCACAGTTCAACCCTGAACTACAAATATTCTCTTTTGTGGATATTTTTGATCCCTGGGAAGCTTAAGAAGAGACAGTATCCATCAGATGAGCTTCATACTTCTGAGAGTTAACATCTGTCATCCTAGAAAAGGCAGCCCATAACATTTTCTCCAGCAAGAACACAGGGAAGATTGAAGTTAAACACGGGCTTCTACTTCTTATAGTACCTTGGTTGGGTTTTCTGTAGGACTTTCACTTCTCCCTTTCAATCCCACCAGTTACCAATTTATTCAACAATGTATTATGTTGTTATCCTTTTGAGAGTGTGCTACTGTATTTTATAAAGGCCAAAACACTGTGGAACATCTAGCTGGTGTCAATCAGGCAGCACTACAACTGATAGCTATTCTCAATACTCTGCTAAAATTTGCTTTGGGATAAGAGCAAGCTTGCACAGGATTATTATAGCACGTGAACGGGCTGGATTCCTTCTCTGACAGGAGCCACTGAGCCGAAGGGCTAAATGCATTGTTAGCCG